CATGGGAAACAAAAGCATATTCATATAACATTCCAGTTTTTGAGCCCATTCTTTACCTCGTGTTCATCACACCACCACTGAAATACTCAACAGAGCTCTATAAACAAGCAAGAATTCAGAGAAGTTAACCAACTTGCCCAATAGAAACAAGTAGGTAAGCAGAGATCTCAATCTGGCTTATAAACCTGGCTTCCGTTTGGGTTTTCTATAAGGAGACCTGGAACATGTGTCACTTGTGGGATGAGTAAGGGCAGCACTTACAGCTGAACAACCCATGGTCTCCTCTCCTCTCCTCCCTCCTTTCCTTGTTTTCCTCCTCCCTTTGTCTCCCTCACTCCTCTCAGTCCCCTTCTTCCCTTTCTCCTCCCATTTTGAAATTCAATAGGCCACCTGTTTTTGTCCAAGGAAGCTCTCTATTTGACTGAACACACAGGTAGATAAACAAAAAACAAAGCAGGGAGGGGCTTGACTCGGAACAAGCATACTCACCAGAAGCCCAGTGCCTAGTCAATGGACTTCAGCTTAACCACGCAAAGCAGGCAATAAAATTCAAAGGAACTCGCTAGAGGACTAAGTGGTAAATCTCAGAAAACCAGAGGGACAAAACACAGCAGAGGCTATTCAGAGCCCCAGACCTGAAAGGAAGAGACCAACAGCTCACATTTATAATGTGTGACATTAGCATTCAGGTCTCTTGAATTCAATGTTAACCAAACTCCAGCTGCAGACCAGGCTCTACAGGAGGTGGGCACCTGAGACCCAAGACCCACAAACTTCTACTGTCAGAAGAAACCAGAAAGGATAAAGCAGCAAGAAAGGAGGTTTTGCCTCAGTTCAATTTTTGTTTAAATTGTCAAGTGATGGGGCTGGAGAGATGGCTCAGCAGTTAAGATCACTGGCTGCTCTTCCAGAGGTCCTGGGTTCAATTCCCAGCAACCACATGGTGGCTCACAACCATCTGTGGTGGGATCTGATGCCCTCTCCTGACATAAAGTCGATAGAACACTCAAATACATAAAATGACTATTTAAAAAAAAATCAACTGACATACAGTTGACATCCCATAGAACAATAGAATTTCAAAATTAATCTCTTTGTTAATAACATAAACTTTGATGTAAGAGAGGATATTCCTTTGAACCTCCAAAATGTTGTGACACAGCATATCTAGTCTTCTACCAAAAATGTCATTTTTCAGGAGAACATGAGACTTCCATGACTCTATACTGTTAGTAATGGGTCTTGTGAGCTAACACTGGTGTCAGTTTAAATATTCAGATTCATTTTGTATCAAAAACCAGGTGAAAAAACATAATCTTAGTTCTTATGCTATGTTTTTGCCTGCATGTGTGTGGTCCCAGCTGAGGTCAGAGAGGGGTCAGATTCCCTAGAACTGGAGTTAAAGGTGTTTTTGATTGCCATGTGGGTATTGTGAAGTTAACCCAGGTCCTCCGTAAAAGCCAACACGTGCTTTTAACTGCTGAGCCACAGAAGGGTTTTCATATAACCCAGCCTGGTCTGAAATCTTCCATGCAGCAGAAGATGACCTTTGTAAGGGGCCGTGGGCCCAAAACTATGCGGCTTAAAGCCCACCTTTGTAAGACTTTTAGTGACCTGTAAGTTTGTGGCTTAAAGCCAGTTCTGTGAGCCTCCTGTAACCTGTAATTAGATACGGTTTGGCCAAGTGGAACTGCTAACTGCTTCTGTTCCGAGAAAGAGTCTGGAGCTTTTCTGTTCGCTGTTCCAAAGAAGACCATCACTGCCCAGCTATACTCTTTATTTCTCCAAACTTTCGTTCTTTGGTTAGTTGTCACTTACTCAGCTTTCCATTTGCCATGCCTTCAAGAAGTCTTTTCTTGGGTTCCAGGCATAAGGTGTCCTTTGGACTTCCAGAGCATGGCTACCTTCCTGTGTCATAATTCACCTGCTCACTTATCAGTATCCTTTGTTAGGTTTTGAGCAGGAACAATGTCCACATAATTTATCATCAGTATCTAGCACAATGCAGTCTGTAGTAGTAAATAAATGAATGGAATAATCTGTCTTCTGGGATGACGTATGATTGGGTTTTTATTGTTTGCTTGGAAATTTTTGGTTTCTTTTGAGCCAGGGACATTATGTAGCTCAAGCTTGCCTTCCCGCCTCAGCCTCTTGGGTGCTAGGATTATAGGATTTGCCTCCTCTCAAAGTGGCACTTAAAATTTTAAATCACATTTATTTATTTGTGTGGATGTGCTGGTATCTATGGGTACAGAAGAGAAGACAACTTGTGGAAGCTCATTCTTTTCCATCACATGAGTCCCAGGAATTGAACTCGTGTCAATAGCAAGTGCCTTTCTTTACCTGCTGAGCCATCTTGTTGGTCATCAAAGTGGCTTTTTTTTTTTTTTTTTTTTTTTTTTTTTTTTTTTTTTTTAAAAAGGGGTTTTTCTGTTTAGTTTTGGACTCTCTGTGTAGCTTTGGAGCCTATCTTGGCACTCGCTCTGGAGACCTCGAACTCAGAGATCCGCCTGCCTCTGCCTCTCGAGTGCTGGGATTAAAGGCATGCACCACCAACACCCAGAGCATTGTAAATGAGACAATATTTTAGTTGGCTCTAGGACTCACAAATGGTCTCTATAGGCCCAAATGCGCACAGTTACTGTAATGACTTTAATCACACTGACTGAGGGGTACTTGGGTTTTCAATTCCCAGCAATCACATGGTGGTTCACAAACATCTGTGGTGGGATCTGATGCCCTCTCCTGACATAAAGTCGATAGAACACTCAAATACATAAAGTAAATATTTTTTTTAAAAAAAAACAGCTGACATATAGTTGACATCCCATAGAATAATAGAATTTCAAAATGAATCTCTTTGTTAATAACATAAACTTTGATGTAAGAGAGGATATTCCTTTGAACCTCCAAAATGTTGTGACACAGCATATCTAGTCTTCTACCAAAAATGTCATTTTTCAGGAGAACATGAGACTTCCATGACTCTATACTGTTAGTAATGGGTCTTGTGAGCTAACACTGGTGTCAGTTTAAATATTCAGATTCATTTTGTAAACCAAGTGAAAAAACATAATCTTAGTTCTTATGCTATGTTTTTGCCTGCATGTGTGTGGTGCCAGGAGAGGTCAGAGAGGGGTCAGATTCCCTAGAACTGGAGTTAAAGGTGTTTTTGATTGCCATGTGGGTATTGTGAAGTTAACCCAGGTCCTCCGTAAAAGCCAACACGTGCTTTTAACTGCTGAGCCACAGAAGGGTTTTCATATAGCCCAGCCTGGTCTGAAATCTCCCATGCAGCAGAAGATGACCTTAAACTCCTAATTCTTCTGCCTATAACTCCTAAGTACAATCACATCATATACCACTACAGCTCGTTAGTCCTATGCTCCTCATCTTCTTTTTGTTTTCTTTTGTGTTTTAAGACAGGGTTCCTCTGTATAGTCCTGGCTGACCTTGAACTCACAGAGATCAGCCTGCCTCTGCCTCCCAAGCGTGGTGGCACATGCCTTTAAACCCACCACTTGAGAGGAAGAGGCAGGCAGAACTCTGTGAGTTCGAGGCCAGCCTGTTCTACAGGATGAGTTCCAGGACAGGCTCCAAAGCTACACAGAGAAACCCTGTCTCAAAAAAAAACAAAAAAAGAATAAGAATAAGAGGAAGAGGAAGAAGGAGGAGGAGGAGGAAGAGGAGGAGAAGAAGAGGAAGAAGAAGAGGAAGAAGAAGAAGAGGAAGAAGAAGATGATGACGATGACAAAACACAATTTATCAGTGTTACGACCCAAGCTGAACATGGTAGCTCACATCTGTAATCCCAGGATTTGAGGCAGGAGGGCTGTTCTGAGTTCAAAGCCCACCTGGGATACATAGTCAATTTCTGGAAGATAGCCTGTGAGACCTTATCTCAAAACAAAACAAGGTCAGGCATGGTGGCAGAGACCTGTAATCTCAGCATTTAGGAGCCAGAGGCAGGAGAATCTGAAGTTCAAGGCCATCCTTAGAAGACTCTTTAAAAAGAAAATCTGAATATAATAGAGCTGTTGGAAACATGAACTCATGAACTCACAGCAGCTGTGTCAACCTTCACAACACCTACATAAAGTCAAGCCAGTCAAAATCTGAGCATGTACAGGGGAGGGCCACTGGAAGTGGCACCTCTAACTAAGGGACTATTGGTATTTGATGGCTATAAAGAGGAACAGTATGTTTTCTTCAGGGATTCAGCCTGATAGGTTGCTCCCACTCTATTCCATTGGACAACACTGGATTCATGTGTCTATGAGGGCCCCAATGGAACTTAGTAGGTTTTTAAAAAAGGACATGGAGTTAGAAGGGAAAGGTTGGGGAGGTCTAAGAGGAGCCAGAGCAGAGGAATGGGGGTGAATATGATAAAAATTCAGTATGAAAATCCCAAAGAATAAATAAAACTATTTACACCCCAATCATGAGAGGTGATTGCTCTACAACTGAATTAGAACAAATTGTTTTTCCCTCTCTCAGGCTATTTTCCAAAAACACACCGGTACACTAATGACCAAAAGCAACAATTAGGAAAGCTGGCATTTTGCTTTGAAACCAGGTTGGCCTCCAGTTCACTCTGAAACTGAGAGACTCCTGCTCCTCCTGTCTCCAACTCCCAAGTGCTAGGATGACACCTGGCTTTGGGGAATCATGGTGGGGGAGGTCAATGTTCTTCTCTTTACTGCTTCTGCCCCATCTTCTCTGTCTGCAGAGAGTTTTACCCCGACTTAACAAAGATACTGTCAACATCAACACCAATGGGCCTCCCCCATCCCTTAGTTAGAAAGACATTTAAGAAACTTTTTTCCCTCTTTTTATTTTTACTTATCTATTTATTTTGAGACAGTCTCACTACATAGCCCTGGCTGTCTCGAAACTCACATAGATTCTCCCGAAGGTGCCGGGCTGAAGGTGTGAGCCACAATGCCTAGCAAGAGTTTTTAACCTTAATATGCAATTACTCACCTAACAAGTCGAAAAGACTTTTCTCCTTTTTTCTTGCCACTTCTCCCTGAACTTCACACAGCATACATTCAACATTCATTACTGCTTCAATGAGGTCAGCCTGGGCACCTCTAATCTCTAGCATTGCTTTCAGGGGACTGACAGTCTCTGAAATGGAGACACCTGAGGCTGTCTGGAGCTGAGACAGCTTGTCATGCTCATTCTTGCCAAGATAGAGAATGTGATTATTCTCGATGATGTGGTGGTCCTCAGAAGTCAGCAACCTTTCAATCCACTCTTTGGCCTCACACATCTCTTCTGCGTTTACACCCATCAGATTGATGGCAGGGGATCCGGCTTCAAGTCCACCTCTTTGCTCCCCTCTGGTCCACTGGGGGACTGAAAGAACTATCAAAAACAGATATAGAAGGCTGGTGGGTTTTTCAATAGTACAGAATATCACTGGCACCATTTGCCCCCAGGATATTACCATCACTGTCAGCAACAGCAGCTAAGACCTATCCATAAAAACTACACTGGGTATAAAGGGAATCTACAGGCACAGCTTATGGCCTCCTTATAAACATATCAGCTAGCTTACAAGATGATGGATCTATTATCTCCACCCTCTGCTCTGTGTGATTTGTGAATTCAAAAGTAAGTTTACCTATTCTCACCAGCTAAGGGACAAATCCTTAGCCTCTTGCACCTACCAGACTTAAAATCAGACACCAAAAGCTACAGAATTCAAGGAATACAATGTATTTTGTAAAAAACAGTGGGCGGGTGGTGGCACATGCTTTTTATCCCAGAACTCAGGATATAGAAACAGGCAGATCTCTGTGAATTCCAGGCCAGCCTGGTCTACAGAGTGAATTCCAAGACAGTCTCCAAAGAAAGCTACACAGAGAAACCCCATCTCAAAAAACCAAAAAGAAAAAAAAAAAAGAAAGAAAGAAATGATGGGAGCAAGGTGCTGGAAAGATGGCTCAGCAATTAAGAGCACTGGCTGCTCTTCCAGAGGCCCTGGATTCAATTCCCAGCACCCACATGGCAGCTCACAAGTTATTGTCTATACATCCAGTTCCCTCACACAGGCACACATGCTGGCAAAACACCAATGCACACACAAAAAGAAAAAAAAAAAGAAAAAGAAAGGAAGGAAGGAAGAAAAGAAAAGTAGCAAAACAGAGGTCAGTTAGGCAAACTGTTTCACTGGAAAGCAAACATTATGGCTTATAGCAATCAGAGACATGCACCATCACCCACCAGTTGAGCAAGAACTTGGAAGTTTAACAATATCAAGTGTTGAGAAATCTATAGAGTAAATAGAACTCCTAAATATCTATTATATAAAAATGAAACAAGCGCATGGTGGCGCATGCCTTTAATCCCAGCACTGGGGAGGCAGAGGCAGGCAGATCTCTGTGAGTTTCAGACCAGCATGGTCTACAAGAGCTAGTTCCAGGACAGCTTCTAAAGCCACAGAGAAACCCAGACCCGAAAAACCAAAAAGTGAATAAATAAATATGGAACATGGAACAGGCATTCTTATATAAATTAAAACCAAAACACACACACACACACACACACACAGAGAGAGAGAGAGAGAGAGGGAAGGAGAGAGAGAGAGAGAGAGAGAGAGAGAGAGAGAGAGAGAAACAATTTTCTTGGGTGTTCAGGCTTGGTAGCAAGCACCTTTATCCATTGAGCCATCTTACAAGTTCACATTGGAGCTAATTTCTCAATGGAAGTAACCTGATGCCCTTCAATAATGGAATGTTACTGTACTGATGAAGACATTACCTTTACATGACTGAGTCACAGAAACATACATACATATACACAGACACACACACACAGATATATATATGTAGAAATAGATAGATATAGAGATATAGATATAGATAGATATAGATATAGATATAGATATATATCTGGGGGGGGGTGGGATTTCAAGGCAGGGCTCCTCTGTGGCTATGCAGACTGTCCTGGAACTAGCTCAGTAGACCAGGCTGGCCTCGAACTCACAGAGATCCACCTACCTTAGCCTCCCGAGTGCTGGGATTAAAAGCACGAGCCATCACCACACAGACAGAAACATATTTTGAGGGGAGAAATAGCAAGTTGAGGACATTGTTCTAAGGGCTTTACATATAGTCCTTTATTTAAGCCACACAATTCTATGAGACAGGAACTATTTAGTTCATCTTACAAATGAAATCACTTAAAATTTCCAGAGTCATTAAGTAACTTGTACATGGTTGTAGGACTAGTTAATCATATCCACCACGCTAGTGGATGGGGGCATCTGACCCTAATGGTTATACAACTCTCCTTCTAGGTAGTGATCCTCAGATCATAGGGAAGGGGCTGGAGATATGGCTCAGTGGTGAGGAGGATATATTGCTTTCCAGAAGCCCCAAGTTCTAGTCCCACCAGCCACATCAGGCAGCTCACAACTACCTCTAACTGCAGAGGGATATTTGGCCTCTGAAGGCAAAACACTCTTACATGTATGTGCTCACCTCCTTCTAAAACTAAAAATTTTTTAAAAAGACACAAGGGTAGCCAGGCATTGGTGGTGCACGCCTTTAATCCCAGCACTCAGGAGGCAGAAGCGGGCAGATCTCTGTGACTTCGAGGCCAGCCTGGACTACAGAGCGAGTGCCAGGATAGGCTCCAAAGCTACACAGAGCAACCCTGTCTCAAAATAAAAGAGAGCTCTTAGCTCCTAGACTTATCACCGGGAAACCAGCATGGAACTGATCCAGACCTCATAAATGTGGGTGTCAGTGAGGAGGCCTCGGAAATCTATGGGGCCTCTTGTAGTAGATCACTACTTATCCCTAGCGTAGGAATGGACTTTGGGATCCCATTTCACACAGAGGGATACTCCCTCAGCCTAGACACACGGGGGAGGGCATAGGCCCTATCTCAAAGGATATGAGACTCTGAAAGACGCCCCCCATGGAAGGCAGAAATGATATTGGATAGGTAGGGTGTTAGTGGGGGAGCAGGAGAGGAGGGGAGGGAGAGGGAACAGGGATTGACATGTAAAACAATCTTGTTTCTAATTTAAATAAAAAAATTTTTAAAAATGCACTTGGGGCTAAATAAATGTTCCATGGGGGAGGGGGAGAAGACACCAGGTACTCAGTATCATCTTTCTGCTGACATCATAGCTGGGTAGAACCAGGAACTCTGGAAAGTGTTAGGACAGAAGGGAGCAGCTAGGGAGCTGAGCCAATGTTGAAGACAACAGAAGTGAAAAGGGAATTTTAATTGGAGGCATACTTTTTGCTGTTTTAAATACTTTTTGGGAATTTACATTGCTTTCTGGAAGGGCACAAAAACAACACATAATGGTTCTTCCTTGATCAGTCACTCTGAGGAGAAAAGAATTACTCCCAATAACTGAATTGTTCAAATCACTAAGGG